CCAATCATAATTGCTGGTGTAATGGAATGCACCAAGATTCAAATCAACATGCAGTGTTCGCCTGGATAAAGTAGTGTGCATTTTAACGTTTTCTAGTCTTGCTTTCCGTTGCTGGTCTGATTGAGATGAACGGGCTTCAGCAGTGCGCACTCGAATGGTTTCCTGTCTTACCTCACGTTGCTCGTCTGTTTTTGAAGCAATTAATGCCCTCCTCTTGCTTGTTTTAGGTGTAGATGAGCGCTGATCATCAGTAGCTTGTTCATCCTCATGATGAAAGTTGACTTGAAGTATCGCTGAAATAAATGAAAATATGAGCATGAGATAACAATCTATTTTGACTCAAGAGGAAATGCATAGAAACTGGGCAGCAAATAGTAAGAAAAGGCGGTATATAAGACAATATGAAAAAGCCAACAGATAATGTGCATACATTTATCATTGTGGGATTTAAGGAGTGGTCCACACATGTATTTGAAGTTTAAAAAATGTACATATTGACTGATGTCACTGGAAATAAATGCACTCACCTGTTGAGATATTTCTAGATTCTAACACTGACCTGAGACGGAATGTCAAGTAAATTTATATACTTCTTTAGAATAACAGAAGAAAGCCAACCAAAACTGTTGTACCAATGAGTATAAGAAAGATAACAGATAATGATTAATCTTTTTCTTCTTCTTCGCGTTCACCAGCTGTACACTTTGGCGGAAAGTTCTGGTTGCTCGTCCACTACTGAACTGCAGTCCTGCTCCAGAACCTGAGAGTTGCGTGTGCATCAATTTTACAGATCTCATTCTCTTGAATACAGACTGTTGGTTCCTTGCCTCTCTGGCAGATGCACTCCGACTTCAAAGGAGGCTCCCCAATTAGTCGACTCTTACGACATGCTTTTGGGGAGGCAGTGTGTCTATTCTTGTTTTCCCCACAATGGGACCCCGGAACCCACACGGGGAATAATGATAATGTGTATATATTTATCAATGCGGGATTTAAGAAGTGAGGCACACTTACAAGTAAACAAAAAACATGTACATACTGGTTTGCAGTCTCACACCTCACGTTGCTCGTCTGTTTCTTACGACATGCACGATAATAGTTAATGATAATGTGTATACATTTATCATTGCGGGATTTAAGAAGTGGTCCCCATTTGTTTAAAATTAAAAAAAAAACATGTGCATACTGACTAATGTTACTTAAATAAATGCTCTTACCTTTTTAAATATTTCTTGATAATACAACTAAAAACCGATAGCCATTTTCCTTGCGGGCGGATGTTGACGATAGAGCGTCACTACTGCGCATGCACGGTAAATCGATCCCACGTAACGTGGCTATAATTAGAAATCACTAAAGTTATAAATATTAGTTGCGTATATTATGGCATAAATTGTGGTCACCTATCTCTAACAGTGACAGGTTGAATTTCAAACCACGACAGTTCAAAATCCGGTATCACAACAAACATATCCTGAAAATTTCAGCTAAATCGGTTCAGTAGTTTCCGAGTCTATAGGGAGCAAACAAACACACAAACATTGATATATATATATATATATATATATATATATATATATATATATATATATATATATATATATATATATATATAAATAGCCTTTTTATGTTGATAGCGATAATAACAGGTCTTCATAATGATCAAGATTATAACAGATGTGATTATAATGATGAAGATTATAACAGCTGAGTTGATAACAATAGAGATGATGATTAATGATTACAGTGATGGGGTTACTAATGAATGGGACTATAATTAGGGAACAAAAGAATGAACTTTATTTTCAAAGATTTAAGATTAGGGTACACAAGCACGTCTTACATTCTATCATTTTGGACTTGCTTTTTACTTACATTATTCCATTCATACATCAGTTAGTATATGATAAAAATAAAACACAACATCGACATCGAATTCTTAGTTCAATTTCTGGAAACGACTTAACCTTAAGTTGTATTTAAAAACAACAAAATTACTATGTATTGTTAGTATAATAACTCTGTGGGCAAACACAGTATATGTAATACCATTAGCGATTGCAGAGGTTTTCAAACTGGGTTCCTCGGTACTGTGACGTGCCGCGAGAGTGCAATGTGTGTGTGTGTGTGTGTGTGTGTGTGTGTGTGTGTGTGTGTATGCGTGCGTGTGTGAGTATGATCATGCACTTTTTCATTTCAAATCAAATTTAAAGATATTGCTAGCGAGAATATAAAGGTGCGAACGAGGAATGAAAGGTGAATTTGGTTGCATTCGTCCGTGTCATCCCATTAAAGACAAATGAACAGTAAATTTGAACTGTTTTTTCTTGTTTCTTAAGTATTCAACCCGCTTTATGAGTAGGTGTGCCGCTAACCAGGATAAATGTCCTGGGAAGTTAAGACGGCCGCCGTAATGCTTACCACATTAACCATTTGTCTGTAAAAGTATGAGTGCTCTTCCCATCTGCCTTATGTGCCTAAAGGCGTGAAAATTGATCTTTATTTTACTTGATTATAAGGGCCAGTTTTAATTGGCTGTGGACGTTAGTTCCATAGATGAGCTGTGGAATAGTATGCCATGCATGCTTTGTATGTTCTATCCTTTTGCATGTGTAGAGGTGAAGAAAAGACGCTGGCGTTGGAAAGGACACACGATAAGAAAATATGACAACAATATAACTTGATGTGTTTTACACCGAAACATACATTTTCATTGAAATAAGAACAGACTAAAACACACTCGGAGAAGGGAACAATAAAGTGAAGGTAAACAGGTGGGTAGGACATGAGGTGAGCTACAAGTGACAGCACGGATGGGTTGACTTGGCGTGAGGGCTATTCTCTATTTGGGGATACACAGTGGGGACGATGTGGTAGAAGGTGTAGGCGTTTGCTATGTCTTCTATTAAACTTAAACAATGGCCAAGGTAATCTAGGGGAGTCGCCGTGGCGTAGTGGCTAGACCCTCGCAGATAGGAAGGTCGTGGGTTCACTCCATAGAACACTTGCTCGAAGACTTGGCAGAATATGAGACACTAAAGATAAATTTGTTGCCAGAAAGAACAACACTGAAACGTGAAGTCTATTGACCAGTGAGGGAACTGAACTCGACAGCCGGGAAGAAATGGGTAAAGGGTGGGGGAAGGGGGGGGGGGGACTTACAGGGCTTAAGTTTTGTTTATCTGTGCAATAATATTATTAATTGTAAATAGTTATTATTATAATTTTTTACTAGCATTATTATTATGTGTTGGATGCCAAAGTAAGTATATTGTATTTTAAATAATGTAAAATATGTTTTAAAAAACAACAGGTCAGTTTAATTTTTACGAGATAAAATTGAAGATGCGACAACTTTTTTTAGAGGAGAACGACCATAAAAAAAAAAAAAAGAAGAACTTGTAATGAGTACAAAGTGAGTGATAAGATGGATGAGACCAGGACATTTCTTGGTCACAGGCTGGTCAGTAGACTGTAGACATTAACCAAGGGCTTTGTATTTATACAGTAGAGGATGATTGGCTTAATGGGCTTACTGGAAAAAAACATGACAATAGCAACTGCATCAACAGACTGAATATAGCTAAAACAGGAACAGCAGCGCCATCAGTGCTATCCACAACATCAATGTTGAACACCAACCGCAACAACAACAGTATCATTAAAGCAGGACAACAGCCGCAACAACAACAGTATCAATAAAGCAGCACAACAACTGCAGCAACAACACTATTACTAAAGCAGAACAACAGCCGCAACAATAAGAGTATCACCAAAGTCTAGCAGCCGAAACAACAACAGTATCCCTTATGCAGAGAAAAAGCCTCAGCATCAGCAGTATCATAAACACTAGCTCCAACAACAATTTACAATACCTGTAAATCAAGCCAATATCCGTGCACTAATGTATATAATGTTACACGTTGACTGTCTGTAAATCAATCTCATATTGTTTTTCGGGTTATGTACCTAGCCGCTCATATTTGTCTTGTATTTTTTTTTTTCAAAAACCACTAAGGGACGACTTAGCACTAACCACCCCTACAGCAGATATCTGCAATCGCTAACAAATAGTTTTGCATCTGCTTACTTATTCTTCTCTGCTCATAAGTTGTAAGCTCCAGTGGAAAGTCCTAGTTGTTCGTCCATCTGGACTTTGCTTTGTGCCAGGGCCTGAGTTTTGCGTGTACATTCGTTTTACTGGTTTATTTTGAGTGCTGTTGGTTATTCCTTGCCGCCCGGGCAGATGCGCTGCGACTTCGATGGAAGCCCCTAATAGTCAACTCATACGACATGCTTGTTGAAGAGGAAGTGGGTATGTCTACGGTTTTTCCAGCATGGGACCTTGAAACCCACACTGAAAGGCAACCGCCTTCATACATTTTGGCCCTCCCCCGCCCCCTCCACCCCCCCCCCCCCAGGGGTTAAATGGGACATAATGCAAGTGCGCCTCCATTGAACACGATTTTCAATTGCTAACTAAAGCCGGTCATGGATTGTGTGTGCCTGGGATCAACGATATCAGATAAAGTTTCCTTGGTACCAGAAATGCATAAACATATTGGAGAGACAGCAATAACAATGTCCACACTAAGCGAGTCTTGGACAACAATAGACTAGCACTGAGAATAAAGATTCGCTGTTCGAAGCAGAGGCAAATTTGTTTGCTTCTGCCAGACGGTGGCCGAGGCATTTTTGCTCCATTTGTAGACTGGATATAGTTTCGTCGCCCTGCTTCTGAGTTGAATGCATGGCGTGACCCTGTGAGCTGCAGATTGCATTTGGAATGTTTTTTCGACTGTGACCAACGTGGTGGTGTGAATTGTAGATTCAGAAAATGGCGCGATGCCTGTCGTGCAATGTTGGCGGTGCCCGTATGTGATTAAAATTGATCGCGTGGGCAACTGCTGATCTGTTGGCGACAAGTTCTGCTATCATCAATGATGAACAGCATTTCTAATGTTGGACTGTTTGTGTTAGCACTTCGGATGGCTACCGTATGATTTAATGCGAGTGTATGCTAGATATGCTGAGACAGCAGTCTGTCAATCTTTCCACAAGGCACTGTGATAAAAATTATGTTTGTTTTTCGTTGGCACTGGAGCGGAGCAAAGATGGGGCGACCCGTTTGCTATGAAGCTGAAACTAAGACTACCAGACCAGACTACCAGACCATAAAGATTCCGGTCAATAAATTTTGCGTTCAGAGAACTTTGTGTGTCTCAGATCTGGACCTTGTCCTCACGACACAAAAGAAAGGTGCATTCCTTCTACGTTAGTTGTCTGAGATGCATTATAGGTAATTTATGGAAGTTCCAGAACAAACTAATAAGTACTTAAAAGAGCAGGTTTTTACTAAAGTCTGCTCTCTTCTCAAATAGAGACGTGTTCTGTTCCTCTGCTGTCTCTCGAATGGAGGATAGACAAATTCGCAAAGATCTGCGTTCAACATTGATAGGATTTGATAGCCACGATAAAGAGACCAGCAGAATCCAAATATGCTATAAGGATATCTGTAAACAAGATATGAAACTCTTTAGCATAGTTGATAGCATGGGTGGGTCGGAGGCGAGGGGACGGAGGAGATTCTAAAGTCATTTTCCTGGAGAAGAGGTGTACGAAACAGATGAGGGAAAACTAACCCCCCCCCCCCCCTACCCCTTAAAAAGGTAACTTGCTAAGGGACCTGACTCTTTTCACAGAAGCAGAAATTGTGACAGAAACTGGCATACTCCGTAACAGATGGCGTTGTCACCTTCGGGCTGTCAGGCATCTGCCCAGCGGCACAGTTTTATAGTCCTTCAGGACTGACAAGAAACCTAATGCCTAACACTAAGGCACTTTAGATATTATGTGTGATTAAGAAAGCGATTACAACGTGGTATGAGTGTATCAGACAAAACAAGAGTGTTTACTGTTTCAGCTTGTGACCCGGGATGGTTTGGATCCTTGTGTCAATACAAATGTCGATGTAGACAGAATAAATGCGCTGCAAACGGTGTCTGTACAAATAATGCCTCGTGTGAAGGCGGTTGGTTCGGACCAGCATGTCAGTACGGTAGGTTTGGTTGTCATTGATGTCTGTGTGGTTGTCTGCCTATGTGTGATACTGTCTTTGTGGTAACCCACTATGTCTTTCTCCCGATCATTCCCATGTGTATCCCAGCCTCGTGCATCAGTTGGGGGAAAGGGGGGGGGGGGGGTGTGACTTCTTCGCTTCTTCTTAGAGTCCATGCCATGTGGCGTTGGTAGTCATGTCTATCCACAACCTTCTGCCTCGATTGAAAACAAGGCAGTGTTCAGGAAATTTAGTGGGCCAGTATGTGAAACGCCCCCTCCCACAAACACACACACACACACACATGCACGCGCATAACACATATGTCTATATTATTATGTGCTGTGTCAATAGACATGCAGTGTCCGTTTTATCGTTAAGTAGCTTACCGCCCAGAGGAGTATCAGCAGTCAGTCTATCAACATGCTCTTTATCACGCACATCCGAAAGTCCTAGGCTAAAACAAATTAAGCATATTTTACTCACCTGGGTCTTATCAAGGTATTCAAGCCACACTTAGTGCAAGCAACCATTTTATGTTTCCCAAAACATGGTGTGTTAACTGTTAGGGCTTTCAGAGATGAAGATATTCTTGCTAACCACCATCTGTTGGTAAGTAAAACCCAGTTCAAACTCAAGAGATATTTGACATCTTACAGCCAGTCAGTAGTATGTTCTTTGCAGAATCTTTCTTCTATAATAAAACTCTGGAAAACGTCTCAATAACAAACAAGATGCTCCGCGACCGATACACCTATCCGGAGACCATTCGCCACATACTGCACCCATCTTCTATCTGGTCTTCGTCTTCCCCTCAATGATTGTTCTCTCTAAACTTTCATGACGTTTCAAGTGACCAAAATATTTTATTTTTCTGTGTTTTATAATCTTTAATAGCCAACCTTCTTGAATGTTCAGTTCTTGAAGTATGGATGATGCAGATTTTTGTTTCCTTCCTTTACTTATGCTATTCTCAGAACCCGTCTATGACTTGTGTATTCAGAGGTATTCATGCGCTGTTTAGATTGTTTAGTAAGTGTCCAGGTCTCACAGGCGTATGTTACAATTGGAAAGATGCATGCTCTTAGAAATCTAATGCAATCTTGTAATCGTAGGTACTAAAAAAAATGTAGGATATCTGGGGAATTGGAACCTTAAGGAACAATTACCAGTCTAAAAAAGTACACTGTTGCTGCAATTGTTGTCTGAGGATATTTCAAATCTGCTGGAAACAGATCAAAGGATATTTGAATGAATCCTGTGTAGAAGTCCAATGTAAAAGTGAACAGATACATTAGGCGCGTATAACACCTGATACCCTTAAAAATCAAATCAAAAGCAGAAGGACAAATCTAAACAGTAGAGCATTAGCAAAACTGGTTTGGCGACTGTCAACGACGGCTGACGGCCAAACATAAAGCAGATAGTAAAAGCCATTGTAG